AGGTATATTTTGATAGGGCTCATTTATAATATCAACAATTATCGTATAGTATATATATATATATCTTAAAACACAAACTAACAAAGATGCTCTGCATTTCGACTGCGCATTCAAAGCCACTTTCCCATCTCTGCGGTGCAGAGTGACCGCTGTTTGCGCAACTCGGTGCAACCTCCCCCCCTCCCCTCCCTATAGGCGTACGCCTGCGCGTGTGCTGCATGCCGGAACCGGGTCGCAGCCGAAATTCCACCTCGACCGGCTGATCTAGGCCTACTCCTCTTCCCGACGTGAACTAAATACCACACAATAGAGGGGCACGACAAGACCCCTCAGCGGCCAAGTTATATTGGTTAGCTATACGTGCACGCATGCAAATATACAGTTAGACTGTAACGGCGTTGAGGAATCAAATCGATACGATATCGGCTTGGTGCACTGCATCTATGCTTGTGTATTGCAGGTGGTAATAATAACGCCTACGCCTACCTTCGATTTTTAAATTATTGGTAATGCCAACATTAAACGCATTATGGGGAAAACGTTTTATGTTGGTACTATTGACGTGTTTTTAATGACATTTAAAAATGGAATAGATATTCAATTATATCTTGTTGCTTATTTATATTACTTTTTTAATAGGAATTTAGAATGAAATAATATAGTTTTAAATTATATTATATAATTTTATATGAAAGTAACTTTATAAGAAGCATGATTTGAAATCACTTTTTTATTGCTATGTCACAGTCATGGGATCAGATATACATATATAATTTTAAGGAGTATCTTGTGAATATTTATATCAGATCATAAATCCTTTCCCTCGAAAATTCGACGTAACAGGATACCATTTCCAATCCATTTTCAACTCAAATATTTTCTGACAGTAAATTTTATCAATGCCAAGGAAATTTGCAGAATTCTCTTCGGTACATTCAGAAAATGTTATGCCTATACAAATGTAGTTATACTTATGTACAAATAATACTGTTACGGTGTTATATCTTTGTATATCTTATAATATTACTTACTAGGTATTAAATAGGCTGTTCTAACATTAAACGTTTGATTCATAACCTAAACATTAACATCAATGCATAGTAGAGAATGAACTACATTTCATTGGACAAACTTGCAGTGGAATGTTTTAATTTGTATGATACTTTCATGCATTATTATGCAGTATTAACATTTACACACGATTTTTTTAAGATAAAGTATACCCTATGTTCGGTCATATGCTAAAGTAACTTAACATTGCATAATAATGCCGATAACATGATGCAATGTTAAGTTTCTTTAAAATTCATTTGATAATACAACAAATAACATATACAACACAACACAAATATTATATTGGTATTTATAATACTTTACATTTTGTTCGTTTGAAGACGACTCCTAACGGTTCCAGCTTTTCAATTATAACAACGCATTTGTTAGCAAACTGTAACCACAAAAGAATAGGTCTGAAATTAAATAGGTTAGACACAGGTACTATTCCACTATTCCATTATTCCAAAGCATATTGGCAGAGCCTGTTTCGAATGCAGCAGAAGTTATAGTACTGGCTGGTATCCTATTTATATGTTTATTGTTTTTTTTATTAATTAGCAGGTTATGTACACTAGGATTATTATCGTCACATTTAGTGCACAAAATCACAAAATAATATATATTTACATATAAAAATATTGCACTCAGTAATCGAAGTTTCCATGTGGCATTGAGTCATTCGATATTGGTTTTTGCGCAGTTAATGGATTGATACTTGTCACTCCCCAGTCTTTTTGTAAATATAGCATGTAGTACATAATATGTGCAGTTGTATTCACGCAATTGCAATGCCCAATATTTAGCCAATCTATCGATAACAGATAGCTACTGTAGGCTTGAGTTAAAACGAGATAGCATCTATCCGGTGTCTTTTTCTCACTTCTCCGTGTTGTAGTACTCAAATTGTTATCAATAACTACGCTTGTAACCCCAATAGGGGGCTGAATATAGAAATTGATTTATGAAACATTTTACAACTGCATATAAGAACTGAATTGTAATAATCGGGATAGGAATTTATGCTTATGTTAACGCTGAATAAATTTAGTCACTTTTAAGTGAAAAGAACTTGACTTTTACAATTTACACTTTGACATCCATAATTTTAATGTTTGCAGGATGCAGATATTGAAATTATGGATCCATCATCGTGCAATTAGACGTTAAAAGACATCATAAACTTTTCTCCCTAATTTATTATACGAATAGCCAAGAAGTGTAATTTTTTCCCTTTATTATAAAAACTATAAAGCTAGACTAATATTAAATACAAAAAAAATATTTAAGTATGTAATAAATAATAAAAAGTCGTTACATTTTAATAATTCTTTCCCTTATAGAAACTTGTATAACATGGAACGACTAGAAGTAACTACAATAGAAGTGTCTTTTTGTAATTCGATATTAAACAGCTTTTCAGTAAATGTATAAGAAAGTAATATATAGTATATACATTAAAAATATAGTTATAAGTAGCAACAAGGCTACTTATGCATTGACAACTTATTAAAAAAAGTAAAATTCCTTGCGGAAGTTGTTGCAGGTACAAAATTATATTTTTTTATTGCTCTAGAGATTATTACTACGCTCTTTTAAATGTTTACGAGAAATAATAAACAACATTGTGATAACGTTTTCATTCATATCTATCAGGTATCAAAATTCTGTGTCGATATAAAACGACTTATTGGATTATCTGTTTGTTCGTGTCACAATGAATCTTACAGAGAAATGTTTTGTAAATTTGTTTACATTTACGATAAAATTATAGCTTCGTATTTTCATTATAAATAATCGTATTGATACTGAATTAGTGTTTATACAATCGACTGTTTGTTTATCTGTAACCTGCTGATTACAATGCGAGTTCCTATGGACTGTAAGTGTATTTTTTTTATTAAATAATAATACCATCAACTACTTAGTTAGGTTAGGAGGCCAGCTGATTACCCCTTATCCTCTTCCGCAATAGGGATTAAAATATACCTACTCTACTGCACTAACATTTTATGACTATGTAATGATTTTAAAGAGAAAAAGAATGTAAGAGTATTCTTTCATCCAGACCGGAAATTCCTATTTTCGAATAAACTTAACATATACTACTGATAGAGCTCACAGTTTCTTGGAAATCAAATATAAAACTAAACCACGCAATAAAAACAAATAAATATTACGAATTAACTGAAAATAGCTGTTAATTTATATGTGGTCGAAATGGGAGCGTGAGGTATACCGAAATCTCTCTACAATTCTAAAAGATCTTGACCTGTCTCGAATTGCATTCGATCTACAAGAATGTCTATCTAAAGATGTACTAGCAGGCTGATACTAGATTTGGCTGGGCAGGGAGATAAACACGAGCGATTAAGGTGAATGTAGACGTGCCTAAACCTACCTAGCTAGAGCAGTTCCCGGATCACAAGACCCGGGAACTGCTCGGAGTTTTCTGCCATACGATGGATCCGACTCTCGCACGGGAACTATATGCAATGCTAAGAGTTACGTTTCTTTTCATAGTTAAAAAAAATATACTTCGTGAAATGTGGATATTTAAAAGTGTTGCGTTTACCACGATATTCATAATTGAGAATGCCTCTAACTCCCCCTCTAGAGTTCTCAGTCCTAAAGGATGCATTTATATTATACAACTTGTATAACAGTAAAATAAAGGTATATACATAGAAACTATAGTAAAACAGTAGTTCAAGTTTCTGGAAGTAATTTTAAATGAAATATGATTACAGCAGTGACGTAAAGTCGATTTCGGTATCCATTTCGGTGGTTGCAGGTGGTGTTTCCCTCGTTCTCCTAATAAAACCGGCGTGGGAATCGGCCGATGGTACATTACATATTCATCGGTGTGGTCGCATCGATCATGCACCGGTTGTTCACCCGACCTTGGGTCGCAGGTTCCTTCTGACCGCCGGTGAAATTATAAGCAACCTACGGCATCGAATCGAATGAGGAATTAGAAATTGGAGATTCAGTCGTACCAAATATTGTTTGAATGTTATTTTTTCAATAGACAATAAAAGTTTAGTAGATGCGTGTTTTTGTTAATATCTTTATGGATATAAATGTAGTGATATACGTGTGTAATAAGACAGCATTTCAATTTTATTAGTTCAACTGTCATAGTAGGGGCGGAGAATATATAAAAAAGGAAATACCTACATTATTTGATACATTTAAAACTGTTCGCTCCAAATTTAAATTATATTCTTTAGAAGAACTTTTCTAATTGGTGGTTTTAGCTATTACCGTTATTTAAAAATAATAAAAAATATTGGAGCATAGTCACAAAAATATACCTATGTTTGCTTTTTACATGACGTACAGTGAACGTAGACGTCATTGAGTCATACATCAAGATCCGTCAGGCAGTTTAATCTCTACTGGAGGCAAAGAAAAAGAAAGCTACAAATATTGTGTACATACTGAAAACAAAAGAATTATAATATCTTGTAATAACAAAATTGTATTGAAAATATTAATGTGACCTAACCTAATCAATGAAAGTGAGCGAGTAAATATTGATGAATCTTTTACATATGGCCTCGGTGGTCTTGGCAGTTATTTCCAATGGTCGCGGGTTCTATTCCACTCACAGTACAAACATTAGTATTAAGGAGTATGAATGTTTGTATTGGTCTGGGTGTTGACAATGCATACTACATATATATGTACAAATAACGTATCTTTTATAAAAATGTATAATTTTTTTGTATTAATATTTAATGCCGTTGTTCAATATGCAAGTGCAGCTTTGAGATTTTTTTGTCGTTTTTGTTGTGGCCGTAATATTTTGGCCTGTACTTGTTGTTTTTATGTGTGAAAACCCCGGTTTTTTAATATTATATAGGTTATATAAATTATTGTTTTTTCTTGACAGAGCTTCTCTCATCACCGGAAAAATGAATGTTGCTTTACGTTTGTTACAGGGCAGGTATTCGAGGCGGCCCGGGCATGGACTCTCAGCAGCAGCAGTACTGTCTGAAATGGAACAGCTTCGGCTCGAACCTGGCCACGTCCTTCGCGAACCTCTGGAACTCGGAGAGTCTCGCGGATGTCACACTGTACTGCGAAGGTAAGATTTTTGTTTTTTTATGTAGTGGTAATGACAAACTAGCTGACGGCCCACTATCTAGTTCCAATTATAGTGGAATATTGGTACTAGTGGTGAATCGAACCCACGACCATCGGAAGTAAGAAGGAATTGCTAGACCACAGAGGTTATCATCGTCTTGCATTAAAGGACAAAATATACAAGTTGTCGATAAGAAAACAATACGTAAATAATAAACAAATATATATATATAAAACAATATAAACATGCTATCAAAACTATATTTTTGCGTGCATATTATTAATTTAGAAAGAAACATTCATCTCTTTATTGCTTAAAGGCTATAATCCCTTAGGTACAATACAACAAGTGAAGATCTTTGATTGAGTGTTTCTAGAAGCATCTTTATGCTGCACCGATGAATATGCTGCTTTATATATATATATATATTATTATTAAAAAATACAAAATTAATAGCGATATCGCAATAATAGTGAAGAGTACTAAATTGCTTTGTATATTCGTCCTGTCATACAAGACAGAAAAAATCTAGGGACAACAAAATCAAGGAAAATAATTTTAACAATTGTGACTTTAATCATGATATAATTATACCATTTAGATTCTTTAACAGAAATATCATGATAGAAGTATTTCTAGAACTACCTACAAATTACTAAAATGAAATATAAAAGCGTAGGTATTTATTACCTATTGATATTGTTGTTTTGTCTACAACATTTTATTATATCACGTTATTTGTCCTATTTCTGTTAACTGCGTAGGTGATTATTAGGAACACTGATTCACCAGAAATTTACTTTATCCGCCCTAATGAAAAGGTCTTATTTTAAAACCTCTGTTTCATTAATATCTTATTTGTCAATAAGTAAATGAAGACAGATGGTTCTAGATTTTATCTCCTCAACAAAAGTTTCTCGTGCCAAAGTCAGACAAAATTATTACTTTAATTTCAATTCAAATGTCTTACGATCTTTACAGAGTAGATAATTAGACTATTAAATTGTTTCAAGCGATATCAAGTGGAGGGGAGGCGCAACTCCTTCACAGAATAACATTTTAACTTTTGATTGCATCATTTGTTTTTATTTTTTTAACAATTGTTACATAGAGTCGTGACGTTAGTCTTATTAGAGATATACCTACTATAAAAACAGACACATCAATTGCAATAAGCACCTTATTATCAGTAGTTGTTTGATAAATATCACTAAATTGATTTGGCGCCTATATTTGTATACGGTTTATATAAGGTGCTTCCAAATTATCTACATTCTCTATTCTATGTATATTGCGATAATAACGAATGCAGCATGCGATTATTAATAACAATTTAATTTAAACTTACAATATACTGTAACCCAAACGGAAACAACAGTTCTAGAAGCCAATTTACACAAAGTGGATTTTTTTATTTTATAAATATATACAATATATTGGTTGTACTAAACAATAGTTATATTTTAGTACCTGACAAGAAATTTCTTCATTATCGCACTATATCAACCCCTATACAAGTGCAGCTAATTTGGTAGCACCCTATATAGCTAATTATATTTATCAGTACTATGTCGAATACAATTATGTCATCTCTGTATAAATCATTTGTATTTTTATATTGTAAATGTTACGGTTGACTCATAAAATGCAATAAGTATTTTATTATCATTTCTTATCAATGAAGATAGGAAATAAAGCTATGGCGCCAATGTTCTTGACAATATATAATTATATCATTACAATATATTTTGCGATACTTCAATTATATTATATACTAGCTATACCCGCGACTTCGTCCGCGTGGAATTTAACTTTATTTTCTAAAAAAAAAGTTACTCCTTATTACATAAGCTACCTACCAAAAAAAGTCCCGTCAAAATGAGTCCAGCGATTTAGAAGATTATCCGGAACAAACAGACCGACAGACAGACAGATAAAACTTGTAAAAATTGTTATTTTGGTGTATGTACCGTATTTATATTCATATGCATGTAGTAAAAAACGGTTATTTCAATATTACAAACAGACACTCCAATTTCATTTATATGTATATATGTATAGATAACGCATAACTTTTTTATTTATGAACTTATTTAAATAAAACAAACACGAGCAATATATTACTGTAAAGTGAATAACGCATACAAATAGGTTATGTCATTTCTGAGAGTACTGCGCACAGACATACAAAGAAATTCAAACGATCATTGTTGTGGTTTTAAATATTGCAAAAACGGGGTAACTCTCATGCTGACGAAGATGCAAGGCTCAGTTAGTTGAGAAGAAAATTACCTACATTCTTAATAGACATGGTAGGGTTATATATATTTCCTATAAAATTAGTTCCGGATATATATTTTTAAATTGCATTGAATCATTGACACAGCGGACTAGCGGCTAGTCTAATATTTTTAAATCTACAAAGGATTACATAATCTCACGCAAATATAGTCACTGGGAGAAGTAGGTAGAACATAAAAATGCTAAAACCGTATGCAAAAGTTGGGACCGCCTTTTTCAAAGAGCATTGCCGAGGTCGCGAACAAACATTTAAAGCTAACAAGCTATGTGGATTCTAAGTTAAATATACCACGCTAATTGACTGACTGCGGGAACAAAGTTGAGTTATAAAGACGTCATCGTTCGTATTTGAACTTCTTTCCAATTGCACCGTTTTTGTTTCGTGATTGAAATTGGTAGAAGAATAAGATTTTAAAATAGAATAACAAATTCTTTATTCAAATAAACTTTATTAAATAAATTTAAGCACTTTTCATTACTATTTTTTTTTAAAAACCGCTATTTCGATATGCCTTCTTATCACAGGTGAATGTGCAAGAAACTAGCATGTTGTGTTTTAAAAAATTTTTAACTTTACGTTTATAAGTTAAAAGGTGTGAATACGAATTACTAACTAGCATTAATTTATTTTGTTTTAGGTACAATAATTATTATAGCAGTGTTATTCTATAGTTAGATTCATATGCATTAAAATAATGGCTATTTTTAGTGATACAGTTAAGGCAAGGATTTCACTTCTTATTAAATTATATAAATAGACAAGTATCCAATTCACCAATATAATTATAAATTAACAATACCTCGGAACGGAACTAGTATAATATTATCAAATGTATATAGAAATTACATTTGATTATTTCAAATTGAATTTATGTAGTTTTTATGTGTCACCTACATTTTAAAATTGTCTTTTAATTAATATATTTTACATTTGCTATTTATTAGGTTACACCGGTTTTCGTACTTCGTAAAAATTCAATTATTTCATGGGAGTTCCCATGAAACAATTAACAACTATGCAAAATGCGTTTATTTATCAGTTTGTAGGCATGTGCCATTGAAAAACGAGTTTGTAGCTGCGCATACGTCAGTGTTGCCAATGCCAGCGTAGAAAGTGAATCTAATGCCTAATTCTTAAATATGCATGGCACAGAAATTACGATAATGTATTAAAACGACTAAATTTTACATTAGTAGGTTATATAACATTTAAGGATTTCTTACATTGTTATGTACTATACAATAACAATGTAAGTTTATGAATAAATTTTATTGAGTTCTTAAGGGAAACATATTTTTCTATATTCGTATAATATTATTTTAATTTAATTTGCAGTATCTGATTAGTGTCTTTAACACATTCATTGATGCTAGTGGTCGACCATAATTAATTAAATTATAAACTTGAACATTATTAAGGTTGTATTGTCAAAGACTATACTTCTATGCGTGTGTCGTACGGTAGTGTGTGTAATATATTTTTTAATTAATCTAATGTATTTTTTTTTATGCATAATTGGAAAAAACATTAGCATTCAGCGCTACTTCTCAATATCTATAAGTATGCGAAATATTCGACTGCTACGTCCCCGGAATTTTCGTAAAAAGGAGTAGAAATATTTACTTCACATATTAATATAATGATTAGAGAATAATTTTAGTAGTCGCTTTTACAATATCTATCTATAAGTACAAGTGTAAAGATAAATGCTGACTTTCAGTCTTATCTTCACTCCTATAAAGAGAAGAGAAGGACTAAAGCATCTACATATATTAAAAATGTATATAATTGAAAGAAAATAAAAATTATACATACTATTCTAAATGTTTCAAATACGGTCATTTTAATTGATGTTGTAGCTTGAATTAACTTAATAATGTACGTTTCGACTTTAATCAATATTGGTCGTGAGGAAGGAATGTAACTTTAGGAAATAATAATATACTATTACCTTTCGTCAGGGGTAAACGAGCTCTGGTAATGAAAGGTGAATGTACAGAACACACGCTTAGCAATATTAGAGCACGCTGTGAATAGGTTAGCATTTTAATAATACATGCAACATAAGCGTGTACGGTTACGTATATTTAAATATAGTTAATGTACCTTATTTTAACTATTTATGTTTATAATGATGACGGTATTGGTGATATCATCGTATTTATACTGTTTTTTCTTTTGACTGTTGCTAATTCGATTCACTTTTTAACTTTAATTAAATTCATATGTTTCAGTTTAAAACAAACGAAAAATAGGTATGAAACCTCACGAGCACCATAATGAAAACAGAATTCTCAATCTATAATATTTATTTTAATTTATAAATTTATTTAAAAAACAGTTTAAAAAAAAGTACTATTCTAATCTATAAGTTATATTATTGTAAATTTTCATAAAAAAATATTAAGTAGTTTTGCGTTAAAGAGTAACAAATATTCATCCATCCACACAAATTTCCGCGTTTATAATATTAGTAAGATTTTACTCAATAATATTAAATGCTATATGGCCGTATACCTAATGTAGGTAAATTACAGTTTCTTTCAACCCCACACCCCTTTTCTCTCCCACTCGTACTCTAGTATTATTAATAGGTGAGATAGAGGTAACCTTTCAGACGACTTTGTCCAGGTCCCTCTGATAAATTAAGCCCTTCACTTAAATCGAATTAAACCAGACAAAAGCTAATCCTAGACAC